GATAAGATAGACTTCTAATGCAACTACAAAACCAACTAACACCAATACATACAATTCATGCATCATTACAAACTAACTAAAACCCTATATTTAACGACGACCTGCCCACTTTTCCCGCCGCCGGCGAGCAGCGAAGAAATAACAAAACAAAAAAATGCCGACGACCGAGAGTAGGAGGGAGAGTAGCCCTAGCCGCCGCCACGTGGGGTGTGCCTTTTCTTCTTCATCCTCTTCTTCTTCACCGCGGCCGGCACCTCCTCCTCCTCACGAGTACACTTCATTGGAAGACGTGCTGCCACCGGCCTTGATGTGCAGGTGGTGTTCCTCCGTCCGACTCGCCGTCCGGAGGCCTCTCCTCCGCATCGCTCCCCATAAGCGGCCGCCGCACCGAAGGTGCTGGACGTGCTGGATGCGCGGGATCCCCAAGGCTGTGTTTCGCCGCCCTCTTCGCCCTCTCCGCCGGAAGATTCGCGGCGCCTTCGCTACTATAGCTCTTTGCTTCCGGGCGATGAAGGAATCCTGCTGACAATTAAACTAATATGTGATGTGATTAACATATCTAGTCATAGAGTTTGATGTGTACGGAGTATATAATTTCAATATACTCACTCCTCCCTCCCAAAATTATAGTCATGGAGTGTTCCATTCAACTTATTTTTTTTACTTATTACTGTACTTATTCAGATTAGATTAGAAATAGTTTTAATTATATTTGCAATTAGATCAAATCAAACCAGATCAAACTAGATTAAATCAGATTTACAAAAAATTGGAACAGATCAGGCGAACGGAACAACATTAATTTAGTTTATCATGCTTGAATGAAGCTTTTTTAATTCAAGTTGTTTTTTGAGTGATTAATCTATGGCGGAAATTCTCACATACTTTTTTAATTTTAAAAATCTTTATATCAATGTTTAAAAATACTTATTTAACATATATGAAGGTTTAATGTAGAACTTAGATACATGTAATAATTTTCCTTTTTTAAAATTTAAAGTATTTGTTAAATGAAGTTATTTGAGAATTGGGATAAAATTAAATAATAAAATTTATATAATTAAAAATCAGATCAATAATTCTACAGAATCAGAGGTGAAGCTCATTCACTATATTATTTTAAAAAGTAGTGAAAATAAGTACTAAAAAAGTAGTGAATAGTAATCATTGGGTCTACTACTTTTACCGTCATACATCAAATACAACAATTCAAAAGGTATAAAAGTAGTACAACTTTAATATCAATATATTTCTATTCAAATGTAGTTTTCAAATATCAAATTTTTATATAATATATATCTACATAAATAAAGATATCCATAGTCAAAGTATAATGTTGAAAACCGTGAAAAGTAAAATGTGAAGAATATTTTCGGACGAATGGAATGCATAGGTCCGCCCTAAACTACACTTTTCTAGATATTCAAAGAAGGGGACTCCACAAAACTTCCAAGTATATTAGGTCTCTTATTAGAGGTATACAAGGAGTGTATCCAAATTATACACCAAAGGAGTGCATGTTTTGATATTCAAAGTGGAAGAAAATGTTAGTACAAACAAAAGCATTTCCACTGGGTATTTTATGTCAGAGTGAAACTACACTATCATCCAAAATGAAAGTATACAAACCTATGAGGCATAAATTGCGATATACTCCCTCCGTCCCTAATTTGATTACAAATTACGGATTACGGAGTAAAATTTCTTACTTTTTGAAATCATTTTTTATAAATTGGTATAGCAATAAGATATAAAAATTACATATTAAAAAACTACGTCAAAAGTTCTACAAACAAGAGCTGACAAGAATATTTTATTTTATCAAAAACTTAATGAAATCGCGTAAACAAACAAAAGTTATTGAAAAGAGAAAGAAAAAAAATTATAATCTATTCAGGGACGGAGAGAGTAAATTTTAGAGTGAGAAGAGATTTAATTCATTTAAATAGCAGTATTAGATTCTCATGTAAGGAATAAATACAGCCACACAGATTTGCTTTGACAAACGCTGGCATAAAGTCATAAACACGTAACGAATCACAATTGTATTCTACATCACGCCAAACACTCCCTAATTACTCTAAGTAATTACGAAATAAAAAATAATTAAATTAAATTAATTTTTATTTTATTTACTAGAGAAAATTAGAATAAATTCTCGGCCTAAAAAACCTCTAGTCCGTACAACACTCCGGCATGTTTTTCCGGTCCTTCATTTACAAAGTACAAATCCCTCATCCTCTGGAACGCGTGCCACGTCAGGAGGCTATCAGAACCGGCCTGATGACACTTCCCGACGGCCCGGTCCACCTCCAGTATTCTGGCCAACCGGTCTAGACCGCCGTGTAGGCTCTGGCAGAACTTCATGAGATGCTTGACGTCATAAACCATACTGCCGAAGAATATTCTCAAAGCACTCAAAAAGTCCTCAAGGCCGGCCGGCAAGGAGCGGCGCGTGAGGATCTTCAGCAGGTACCCGAAGTCGTACGCGCTGTGGAAAGTCACCCAGCTGACCGACTCGTTGCAGACCAGGCCGGACGACATCATCAGCTCGGCGAACCGGGCCGAGTCAACCCCGCGGTCCCGGTTCATCTCAAAGTCGATCCCCTGACGGCGGAGCAGCTCGACAGAGTCCGGAGCGTGTACGTCACGCCCCACGTCGAAATCACAGAAATTGAACTGCCAGATGCACCGCTGACCACCGGATCCGAGCACCGGGAGGTTCCCGCCGGCGTCGGAGAGAGTCAGCCCGAGCTGGATGAGATTCAGCGCGTCCACGTTGTACTTCAGTAACCGGTACTGATCTGCACACCGATCGGAACCCGACGGAAGTCCACGCCGGCGACGCGACGGCAGATTCTCATGCTTAAACACAACCCCGGGAAACTCGGTATCCATGGATACATACGGGTAGCTATCTACGATTCGTCCGATGAGATCGAATTCGGATTCGAGGTTCTCCGCCCAAACTTCCCGGATCTGAATCCCATCTCCGGCCAAAACATTTTCTTCTTGCCGAATACCCATTAAAATTAAAAAAAAACACAGGAAAATCAAGAGAGAGATGTAATATGGGAAGGACTCTGGAGTGGGGTGCTCTTATATGTGAAGGGGATGAGAACTATATATGGAAGTTGCTTGGAAGGAGAGGATATGATTTATTCAGGGAAAAGAAGATTTTAAGGCTTTATATTGGGTAAAGGCAAATGGGAGAGTGTATGGATCCAATGGAAATGGAAAACAGTGTGCCGGAGAGTGTCCAAGTTCAACGCGTTTCGCCGGTTTTGACCGGTGAAAAGCAAGGAAATGAGGGCCCGACGTGAAATTGAGAGGGCGTGCTGGTGGCGAGTGGGGTTCGTGGGTTAGACCACCCTCGTGGTGTCCTTATCTCTTCCGGATTGCGTGTACATACCTGCCTGGCCAAAAAAACTTATTAGTGGGGAGTATTTTCAATTTTTTTTTGGAAAAGGTGTACCCCAAATGTCCCTCACCACCTCCTTGTCCACTAAAAAAGGTAAAAAAAAATTTAAAAAAAAATAAGTAAATAAAAATTAAATAAAAATGTGTGAAGGAAAAGAGGGTGGTATACATTTTGGGGTACACTTTTGGTTTACCCCTAGCATTACTCTTTTTTTGTAAGAATTCTTGAATCTCGTATTTTATAATACCCGAAGTACTTCTACAAAATCTTCCCCTTTCGTTTTTTTGAATTTCCTAAAACACTTCTAGTTTCTATTAAAAAACCCACTTTTACCCTTATTTTTTCATATCCTACCTATCACATCATACTTTTTTTCTAATAATCAATCCATCCATCTTACGTTTACCTATCACATTAGGAGTAAAATTGGAAAGTCACCCAAAATTACACTTTCCTTTTTTTGCCAAAAGTCAAAAGTGGAAGAATTTAAATGAACGAAAGGAGTATATATTTGGCAGTTTCTCCATTTTTTTTGTAAGAATTCTTAAATCTCATGTTATATGAAGTATATTTCATGATCTTTAAAATTTGAGATATTATGTTTTGAGAGTACATTCTGTCCATTTAGATATTACTTTCTCTGTTCTTATTTATATCGCATGTTTCAATTTATAGAAATCACCCTAAATAGGACTAAAACATAGAGAAGAGTACCAAAATAGCTTTGCACTGTGATAATGTGACTTTGCACTGTGGTAATGTGACGGTGTACATGCATGTGCACATTACTATACTTTTTTGGTAATGTATATGACTATGTTTGGTAATGTAAGTCCTATTTCGGAAATAAAAACATGGAAGTCCTATTTTGGTATATTTTCAATTTTTTAGTCCTACTTTGATCTTTCTTCCTTCAATTTACGATCTTTGGCCAAAATTATTTTCAAATCATTTTACATGAAAAATGGTATGGAATTAAAAAGCTACTACATCAAAAGATCTACAAAACTAGTGGATACATGACAATTTTATTTCATAAAATTACGAACGTAAATAGAGAAAGAAAGTGAATAAATTTTATCCGAGAATAGTAACATGCAATTTAATTTGGGACAGAGGAAGTATGATTTAAAATTCTATTACAAGAATTTTATTAAAGTTTGATAAAAGAATGATTATCAACATAAAATTTAATACTCCCTCCGTCCCGGAAAACATGGGAGTTTTGATTTTGAGGAGGGATTTAAGGGGAATGTATTTTGGTATTGAATTTCCAAAAATGTCCTTTGATGTTATGGGTAAAAGTATGATTTGATGGATAGATTATTAGTAAAAAGGTATGATGTGATAGATGTAGTATGAAAAAATAAGGGGTAAAAGTGGCTTTTTAATAGAAATGAGAAGTGTTTTTTTGGGACGGATGAAAAAAAAAAGGAGAAAGGTTTTCAGGGACGGGGGGAGTATTTGTTAAAGTAATGGAACGTTCAATCTTTATCAATCAAAAAGACAAAATGTACCCTCGTAGTACATTACTACAAATTTTAAAGATGCCCAAAATTTATTTCGTATAATATGGGATATGAGAATAATTACCAAAAGAATAATGATATCCCAAAGTATATTTTAAATAATGTGCAACCTGAGACTTCTTAACAAAAAAATAAAAGTATCTTTTGAGAGGACAGCTGGATTAAATGTTATTTTAAAATAATACAACAATTTATTTTTTCCTTAAAAAATATAGACAAAAAGAAGTGGGAGAGGATGCCTCCCAAGTGCCTTGGATATCATGGAGGAATGCTACTGAGATGCCACAATTTGGTGATGTGGCAGGCGTGGCTGAGGACTTCCCTCGCCATGATGCTGCTTTCAGAATCTAAAATCATCTATAGGGTTGAGGTTTTGAAATTTCAAGGTCATGAAGGTGTCGGCGTATACCTGCTGGTCTCCAAGGTTAAAGCGTACGTATGGGAATCCGCAACTCGCCTCGACATCTCCGTGGTAAGGGCTCCAACCCACCCATTGGACACCTTCCATTGGGTTACAAAAAGCAAATCACGATGTAAAATTCTATAATTTTTGAAAATATTTTATTTAAAATTGGTACATCAATAAGAAATAAAAATTACATATTAAAAAATTACGTCCAAAGTTCTACGAAACAAAAAGTGACAAAATATTTTATTTTATCAAATAATCATTGAAAATATCCAAATAAAAAACAATTATCGAGAGAAGAGAAAAAATAAAATTGTAATCAAAATGGGAACAGAGGGAGTATGAATATTTAAGATAATAAAAGATTAAGAAAATAGAGATTAGAAACAAAAAAAATAGAAAATAGAGATTAGAGAATAGCATAAGAGGGTAAGAGATAGAGAGAATAAAGAGAATAGTGTGTTTTTTACAAAAAAAATCAGAAGCTTTTATATATATATATATATATATATATATATATATATATATATATATATATATATAAATATAAAATTTTGTATAAAAATAAAGAAAACCCCCTAAATAGGAGTAAAACATGGATCATATCTTCAAAATAGGATTTCAAACTTAAACTCCTCTAAATAGGAGTAATTAATTAATAGGAGTAATTAATTAAATATGAGGTGGATACTGGCAGAGCAATCCTTAGATTAGCTTGTTCGAGACCAAGCCGTACTTCGATTGCAAGGGTCATGATTAGTGAGGTTCAACTTGGTTCCCAAATTTCAGTGATCAACTATCTTGTGAATTGCTACCAGTGACCAAAAACGTCCCCATTAAACTCAAATATCTTTCTACATGATGTATAGCATAAAATAGATAAAAAAAGAAGTAGATTTATAAAATAATCACTACTCAATCTCTCTACACACACCAGTGAGATGATACCTTACGATGAGATAACATGTTTCGTTGAGATGACGCAAAGCTCACCATATTACACTGCAAAGCTCACCTGGGAATAAAGCAAAGCTCACCATTTTGAACACCAAAACTCACCTTTTTTTAATTTTGAAAATTAAAAAATTAAAAAAAAATAAAATAGCAACATCGGTGAACCACCGGTCAGCGGCGGCGGCGCGGCGGAGACCGGCGGCAGTGGCCGGCGGCGGAGGTCGGCGCAGTAGCCGGCAGCGGCGGAGGTCAGCGGCGGCAAGGGGTTGCCAAACAAACAAGGAAGGCAAAAGTCATGCCACAATCACGGATTATATCAAAGGCCATTTTTGACATCATGCATTAACATCTGTGATATATAACATTATATATTGACATATCTTTCATTATACATTACCAGGAATAACATTATACAATGTTATGGTTGGCATTATATAATTAATTTGTTTAGCATTATGCATTTGCATGTATGACATTATACATTGGCATGATTGCCATTATATGATTACATGTGACATTAAGTGTGGTCTTTTTTGGCAGTGTATGGACATTTTAATTTATCAATTAAGAAAACCCCCTAAATAGGAGTAAAACATGTATCATATTTTCAAAATAGGAGTTCAAACTTAAACTTTTCTAAATAAAAATAATTAATTAAATATATGTTTGAATCAATTGACTAATCAAGAACTACCAGAAATTGTTCAATTTGAATGAATAGATGTGAATAATGAGAGTGGGAAAACCACATCTGAATCCGAAGAAAGACAAAACACCAACAAGAGCTTCTTAGCTCACCATCTTCTACATACTACTGCTATGCATTTTATGTATCCTTACAATACCCATCCAATCTTATTTTATTAAGAAGGAACATTTAACCATTATCAATGGTCACCGCCGTATATATAAAAAATGATGCCGAAGATTAGTTTTTTTTTGCTAGAATAAAAAAGGTAAAGAGGAGCATTAGTGAAGATTAATTGGTCTACCAATTAATTTTTCGTTGCATGCTTTTAGTGAGTTGTAGAAGACTGTTACATTTCAGCTATCTACTACACAGTGTCATTAGATTTGGTTTGTCATTATGTCATTGTGTAATATTGTAACATTATATATGAGCATATGTGGCATTATATATGGGCATCTTTGGTATTATATATTGTCATATATATGTGACATTACATAGTGCCACATTATTATTTATTTCTTTGACACTTTATGGACTATTAATGTGACATTGTGGTAACGATGATGCAAATTGTGATGATAGTGTTGTTGATATTGGTATAGAGCGGTGATATCATCGGTGGTGATAACAAAAAATCAAAGGCGTCAATGGTATGTTTCATTTGTAGCGGTGCGGCGGAGCAGAGGACGGTGGTGGTGGAGATTCAAGTGATAGTGGCACGTATGTGGCGGTGACGATGGCGGCGGCAGGCATCACCGTCGACGACGATTGCGGCAGTGGGCGTCGCTGTCGGTAGCATGTTGTTGTGAAATTAGTCAATTTTTTTTACTTTTGAACTTGGCCACCACTGGTATTGGCCGTAAATTCAGCGCGTGTGGGGAGCATTTTTTTTACTACGTATTAATTAAGTTAAAATCTTTATTTTAACCTTTTATTAAAAATTAAAAAAAAGAAAGAAAAACTCAAAAACTTGACTACAAAAAAAAGTTGCATAGAGTGGGTAATCTTTGCTGCTTAATATATTTGCATGCATCCGTGCGTGTTCGGAGCATATTTTTGTTTTATGGAGTATTAATTATGTTAATTACTCCTATTTAGAGGAGTTTAAGTTTGAACTCTTATTTTGAGAATATGACATATGTTTTATTCTTAGTTTGTTCCTTCTCCCATAAAAATAAAACTTACTCCTTTCGTTTGTACATAAAATTTTATGATGTTTGAATGAAATTATACTAATTTTAATTTATTTTATTAGTTAATTTATATTTAAAATAAAATTTACATATCGAGAAGTACATTAAAAGTTTTATAAAATAAGGATGTTTTTATTTTTCTTTATATATTTTGTCAAATATCCAAGTGAAATTTGTGCTGAATATATTCAGTGCAAATGTTTTCGCGAAACACACTTCATATTAGAATTAATTGTACTTTTAAATGTTAGGAATCCTAGTTTAACAAATTACATAATTTGTCCTTTATAATAGATGTGTTTCCATATTTAGTTCTTTATTAGCAAATATTACTCATGTAGTCTTTCTTTTATGAGTAACTTTTTACAAATAATCCTTTTTTATCTTCTGCCATGTTGTTAATTTAAAGACTAAAAGTCTAACTTATCATCAACTTTATGTCTAGTGACGAACTTCTGATATCGGTTAGACGGATAAGATAAAAATATTGACTATGATTGTGGGCTAGGTTTCGGATAAAAGACCACACCTATAGACTATGGTTGTACTAGAATATGACTGTAATTACAAACGACGCATCATGAGTGACCTTTGGAATTGTGTATGACAAGAAAGATATATTATCATTGTGAAATTACATATTAAACTTTCAAATTAACACCCAATGTTACTCATAGAAAAAGGATCACCAAAGTAATATTTGATAATAGAAGACTAGATTGATAAAACATACTAGAAGTCTAAAGTTCGAATCTTAGGGATGGAATAATATTTTGACCAATTTTCACAAAAAACAAAAACAGAGAATGGTTCGACCGGGTGAACTGGTCGGTTGTTACCAGTTCATATCGGTTCGTACTGCTTCGCTGCGCAAAGTGGTCCAAAGGGCTAGATCGGACGGACTGCTTAAAATCTGGTTCACCGATCCCCAGTCCAAACTGGCCGGTCCAGTCCAGTTTTTAAAACTATGATTAATGATTAATTCCCAGCCCCCCTGCTTTCTTATTTAAAAACCAAAAAAAGAAAAAAATTCAAACAATTAGGAACTGGAACGGTTGAACCTTTGGTACCGTACTAGCCGGTTGCGGTACCTGTTCCTTACCCCGCCGTGCCGCTGCCGCCGCGGTCTCGCCAATATAAGTGAGAAAATTGCATCTTACTTCTCGCACCACAAGCTTTTTATCTTTTCTCACCATTTTCTTATCATTTTCAAAAATCTAAATACTAAGGGGCTGTTTGGCAACTTCTGAATAGGTAAGTGCTGAACCAGTAAGAGGTCTGAACCATTAAGTGCTGAACCAGTAAGAGGTCTGAATCATTAAGAGCTAGTATATTGCTTAACTATTCAGAGGCAAATGTCTGATCAATTCAGATAAGAGGTCTTAACCATTCAGACTCTGTATAATACTTAACCATTAGGAGGGTGAAACAAACCGCCCCTAAATTTTTTCCCCTTCATTTTCTCTCTCTGTTTGTTTTTCTTTCTCACTTTCTTAGTTTATTTCATACCAATTTGCTCACTTCATCCAAGGTTAAAATTTTCCGAGCCTGAATTTGCCTTTCTGCAAACGGCCGCAGTTGACTCTGCTGTACGCACTTCCACAGCCTCCTTGTCCGACTTTGCGTTTTAACTCGGTCGCCGTTTGGTTCCGGATAAGAACCAGGTAAGAAATCAACTTTTAATTTCATCCCCCCCCCCCTTTTTGTTCAAATCCTAGGAGATATTATTAGAGGATTGATGCCTTGCCTTACGAGTTCATCTCTAGGATTTTGTTTACCGTGCGTTTCAATTAGTACAGATAATGATAGGCCTGATATTCATTGATACCTATTCAAATTTACCCGCAAGCTGTTCGATATAATGTCAAAATGAAATTTTGCAGTAAACTTAATCTCAGAATCTGTTATTTTGTTCAACTTCCTTAGTTGAATTGATTTGATGCCTTCATTAAAAAAAACTTGTGTTAATTTGTTCTCCATTTCAGTTTTGGTTAAAGTTAAATAGTAAATACCATTTCTGGAGACGAATTGGAGAGTGGAGACTACGAGACTAGTATGAGTAGCAATCACGCATTGAATTTAGTTGATTTCTTGAATTCTAATGTAGTTCTCCAATAATTTTTACAGCTACATGCTCAACCGACTCTAAATTTTTCAAAAGTGTATTTTCCCCTCAAACTTTCAAAACTGTATCAGTAGTCTCTATACTTTTAATAGAGTGTTTTACCATCGAACTCTTTAAAAAGTGCATGTTTTTTTCCTAAACTTTTAAAAGTGAACCGTTGATCATTATATTTTCATAAAGTGCTTGATTTTCCCTCAAACTTTCAAAATTTTACAATTGTTCCTATATTTTTTAAAAATGATGTATGGTGGAAACACAACAATTTCTCTTGATTTAAGACCGTCCTTAACAAAACTTGAATAAAAAGAAAAAAAATAATACTCCCTCTATTTTGAAAAATAGTTTCACTCTAATTTTTTGTGTATCTCATAAAATACTTTTACCCAACCTAAAATGTTTAAAATATTCCAAAACAAACATCTACTCCTAATAAAGAAGAAATTAGGTGTATTCATGAGAATCTTAGGTGGGACGTGGAGTTTAAGTGTTTTGTGGGATTTGTAAAAAAAATTAGGTAGAACTACTCTTTGAAACAGAGGGAGTATGACTAATGATGCACTTTTGAAAGTTTGGGGCGAAAACACGCAATTTATGAAAAGTATAAGGACTAAAGATACGCTTTTGAAATTTCGGATGAAAACATGCAGTGGCGGATCCAAAAATCGCAAGGACTGGGGGCGAGACTACTAAGGGGGTTCGGGGGAAGCGCTTCTGTTTTTTCTTCAAAATAACAATGTGAACTTTACAAAAAAAATAATATTTTTACTCAATAACGCATTCAAATAATTAAAAAATCTAAAAAATATTTCCTATAATTTTATTTGCTCTAGATAATGTTTAATTTTGACTCAATCAAATTTTAAATATTTTATTTTTAATGGTAGATATTTAATTTTTTACTTAAAGTTTATTTTTATTATGGGCATTTTATTTTTTTTCAATGGGGGCATAACATTTTTTAAAGAAAAATTAGGGACTTAGGGTACTAATATGGACACTTTTGAAATTCATTGGGGGCAATTGCCCCCATTAGGTTATACCTAGATCCACCCATGAAAACATGCACTTTTTAAAGATTTCGGGGGTAAAGCACGCACTCTATTAAAAGTATAGGAACTACAAGTGCATTTTTTGAAGTTCGGAGGGAAATCATGCACTTTTTTAATGGTTCTGGGTAAATGACGCAAAATTGTTATCCATGGAAATGGACAGTGTAGTTAATTGATAGGATTATATACAAGTTTTAAAAAAGTGATTCTGAATCCTTTGTGAGTACAACAACAATAATTCTATTACCCTGGAATATTTCTAACATAATTTATTTTTGGATTAATTAAAATGAAAATTTTAAAATTTATTTCAAGACAGAAACTAATAAGATCAAGAATACTCTCTATACACTGCATGGGGTTCTCTTAATAGTAAATTCGCTTTATGAAATATAAAACACTTAGGTTCCGTTTGGTACACGGAATTCAAACTATGAAATTGAAATTGGGGACAATAATTCCAATTATGTTGTTCGATAGCACAAAAATTTGTGTATTTGGAATTGGTAGCACCAAAAATGAATTGCAATTAGAGAACTCAATTCCATCCAAATCAATTCCATAGAATTTCAACTCCCAATTCAATTCCAATTCTGTCAATTCCATGTACCAAATGGACCCTTAGAATGTCCACAATCTAACCATCCCAAACATTCATTATCGTGCTCAACACCCACTAGTGAGCAAAGAGCTATTGTATTTCTTTTCTAGAAAAAAATAAGTATCATACTACCTAGTTTAGAAAAGGTTATTTCCCTTGTTCATCACCCAAACCAGTTTTTTCCCTCTTAACTCAAGTGAAACCTTTGGCTCAGTGTTCAGTAATACATCACCGTGTGAGTTATTTCCTAGATGAAGTTCGAATATGTGTTTCATTTCCATTATTAGTTTCTTGTTTTAGATAGCTCAGTGGTTTCTTCTTTTCACCTTGTTTATATATCTCGTAACTGGAGTTTTTTGAATCTAAGGGATAAAATTTTCACTATAACACACATGAATTTTAAACTAAGGGATGCTTTATCTAGTTACTGTATGTGCTCACTATTTCTAACTGAAGCATCTAAAGTGGACTTAGTAACACTTGCATGGGACTCTGCTTGAACATATACCAAAGAACTGATTTTTTAGTTCACAGCCCATCGTTGCATAGCTGCTAGTGAAAGTCATGCAGAATTCAGAATCCGAGTACTTATGTTTAAACTTGCATAATGATGATTTTCTTTATCTAACTGAGTAAGATTACTCGCAACAATTTCATTTTATTTTCTTTTTTTGAAAGGCTTTTTCTTTTTAATATTAATCCATGTTGGGTAGCAAACTATCCCCAGACCGGAAGGAAAAGGGAGAAAGAACCAAAATATATAGAGACTAATGGTTCTTTTTTTAAAGTTCAAAGGGAAAACAGGCACTTCATTTATGGTTGAGGGGTAAATGATGCAAAATTGTCATCAGTGAAAATGGATTGTGTAGTTAACTGACAGGATTGTATACAAGCTGCAAAAAAGTGTTTCTGAAATCCTTTGCCAGTACAACGACAACAATCCTATTACTCCGCGTATTGTTTTTAACAATCCTTTGGATTATTTAAAATGAAAATTTTAACATTTATTTTAAGACAGAAAATAGTAAGATAAAACAACAACAACAACAACAACCCAGTTAAATCCCACAAGAGTAGGATCTGGGGAGGGTGTGTGTACGCAGACCTTGCCCCTACTCGAAAGTAGAGAGGCTGTTTCCAAAGAGACCCCCGGCTCAACGTCGAAAGTTGCATTGCTTGACTAACTGCTACTTCATTAATTAAAGAAGCGCAAATAGTTTAGAGATCCATTTTGATTTATTCCATCACACCCAAAGCCAAAAAATAGTGAAATTTTGGCTCCATCGGAGATGATGGAAATAGTAAGATAAAGAATCCTCCATATATACAGCATAGGGTAAACCCCTTCCCCACTATGCTGCTCTTTCTCTCAATAGTTAATTCACTTATGACACATAAAGCACCTTAGAATGTCCACAAACTAACGATCCCAAACATTCATTTTCGTGCTTTTAACCCACTAGTGAGCAAAGAGCTATTGTTTTTCTTTTCTAGAAAAAAATAAGTATCATACACCCAATTCTTCTAGCTCCTTCTGCTTCATCCATGGATCTTGCTCAATGGCCCAAGGTGTGTGTGTCTCTTATTATCATGCACTTTTAGCTGGTGAGATCCATGTCATTACCCTGCATATTTTCATAAAATTAATTATATTTTTCATTTTTATTTGTTATTTAATATCTTCATAATAAAAAGTAGTTCGAATATGTGTTTTATTTCCATTATTAGTTTCTTGTTTGAGATAGCTTAGTGGTTGACTTTATGTGGTGCAACAGATATTCTAAATATGCTATATGCCTTTATACACTTGTACATATATATACTTCTATAGGATATGCACCATGCTTTGGCTCTTTTTGTTGTGCTTGTTTTCCTTTTTGTGTGTCCCAATTTATTGTGTCTGTTTCCATTTATCCCTTTGCAGAAAACATTGGCCCCGTTTGGCATCAGCGTTAGAGTTAGCGTTTTGAAAAGGCTATCTAGCGTTGGCGTTTTTAGAATTGATCGACATCATTAAAATTTTATCCAAAACGCTAACGCTAATCGAAAATGCTATTCCCAAACAAGGTAATTATCTGGTTCCTAATTTCCTATTGTTTCTCTCCTAAGTATAAATTTCAATGACACAGTGTTTACCTTCTTAATCTCTATGTCCGCTCAATACAGGCACAAAAAATTGGACAGAGGAAGTATGTTTGTTATGTGCCTTCTACTAAAAAATTACTTGTTTTTATATCTTGTAACTGGAGTTTTTTAAAGCTGAAGGATTAGATTTTCACTATAACACATATGAATTTTAAACTAAGGGATGCTTTATCTAGTTACTTCATGTGCTCACTATTTCTAGCTGCAGCATCTAAAGTGAACTTAGTAACACTTGCATAGGACTCTGCTTCAACGGATACCAAAAAACTAACATTTTATATCCAAATTTATGACATATCATATCAAATACAAACAATGAAATTTTTTTTTATCCAAAATTAGAATTTTCTTACATATGTATTAATGTGATCATTTAGTGCCTGTTTGGCATCCACGTTTTTGGGCCAAAACGTTATTGGGTTAAGTTTTACTGTTTGGCTTCCGTCAAAATAGATCTACGATTAGAGGCGTAACTTCTCCCCTATTCTTTCGCACGGCTAAACGCAAGAGGCTCTAGGGGATGAGCGTTCAACCTAGAAGATAAGCGATTCCAAGAAATTTTCCACTTCTACCCACGAAAAATCTAGCGGGAAAGTTGGCGCCTTGCATCTCTGATCCATATAGCCGCGATTTAACAGCAAAAATTAGGGTTTATTTGCGCAGTGAGTTACTCCATGGAGGAATCCAATTCTTAGCAAGTAAGTAATTCAAATCTTTCAGATTTCTTAATTCAGTGATTTAAAGATTTGATTTTTTCTTGAAAATACAATAAAATTTTATGTTTTAGAACATGTTTCTTTGATTTTTTTCCCCTTTGTTTGTCTTTTTTGATTTGTAAGCAATATTGCATAACTTTTTTTTAGTTGTCTCTGTTTTTTTTTCTAGTAAAAAATATGTAATGAATTCTTTTCATAAAAAATTCAAGAACCATATATTTCTCCACTTGACTTTCCACTGCACAATAAAGACTCAAGTTTTATAGTTTGTGTTTTGTTCTTTGATTTGATTTTTTCTATGGGCAGTGATTGAAAGGTGACCTATGTTTATTTGTGTGATATGGATATGCTTTATATTGCTTAGGTTTGTAGAATTGAGTTCATTTATGCTGTGTGAAGTGATTGAAAAGTGTTGGCTATAATGGTAAAAAAATTGGATAATAATGGGTAACTCGTTTATACCAAATGTACACTCGTTTGATTCTGTCTTCCTTAATTCACTGCTTTAGCTGTGACTGGGAGTGCTTGCCATCTCTCATCATTAGCACCACTTGCTTTACTTGTGAAGTAACATCTTGGCGAAGCATTTGATTTTGGAGTGGTTATGGTTTTGGAGTTTCCAAATTTTCATGTTTCTGTATTCTAAGAGTTCCTTGTAGATGTTGCAAATAAATTTGTTTGCTGGCTCTTATTTTGGTTTACACTGCCCTAAGGAAGCTTCTCAACTAAGCAGTGCTCATACTAAGGTTACTTCAGTTTTGACAGTTGAGCTTGATAAACATTTGAGTGAATGATTGCACTGGGAGGTGAGGGTGAGGTGTCTGCAGTACCATAACCACTCCTTTATAACCCCATAATAAATATTGAGCACTGAGTTATCTTTAGTTATATATGATTTTACTTTTAGTACAAGTTATTTATATGATCATTCATAAAATTTACTTTTTATTCCTATTTAATTTTTTTAAACAAGTAGTTTTAGCTTTAGACTGGAACCTATTGCGGGCATGGACTTCTTGAGTCGGAGCCCGTTTTTTCCTGGTTGGGACTAGTTACAACAGAGAATAGATTGAATCCGAGGAAGGATTTAGTATCAGACTTCTACTACTCATTGCAGAGGCACAAATAAATCACAAATGAGCTTGCTTAAAGATAAAATAGCAGACAGTTTGGATATAGGGTCAATCTCTAAATATTTTTTAAACTTAATTAAATATCTATTTATTTCGAAGAATTTGTTAAGTTTATTTTTTGTAATATTATGTTCATTTCTTATGGTATGCTAAACTATTATTCCTTAGTTCCAATTTAAAAAAATTATTTTAGTTTGCAATGCTTGACTAACATTATATTCTATACCTCCATATAGTTTCATAAAAAATATATGAAACTATAGGTAACATGAATATTATTTTTTTAAATGAGTTGACTCTGATAATAGTAAACAGGTAAACAAACTTGGGATAGAATGAGTAAATTATTGGTTCATTTATATTGCATACGGATTGAATTTTTAACAAAATTCTATCATTTTTTTAAATTAATGATTCCCTCTAAAAAACTATTTTTAAAACTTGCTAGCAAAAAAATTAAAAATATAATGACAAATGCAAAAATTCACCCGAATATCATTAAAATCAACCAACATTTAAAAGATAAGAATACATTTTGAATTGGACATTTTTGTAATTTACATTACATTAGCTTTTTTAAATATCCAACTCTCAAACGATAAAAAATAAAACAGCTAATCACCAACTCTGCTGCAAACAGTTAAACTTTAACTCTAATCTCTAACTCTAAACGCTAACTCTGTTTCCAAACAGGCCCTTAATCGAGTGATTTTTTAACATTTAAATTCTTCTATTATTTTTCAACTCTTTCTGACTTTTTCTCCAACTCTTTCCAGTTTCTTCTTACTTTTTCCAGTTTATTCTAACATTCAACTCTGAAATTCTAATATAAAATAACAGAGCCTAATTAAGCCAATGTTATAATGCACTTATTGTATGTATACATTTTGCATCATGATGATTTTCTCTCATTTTAATATTTATTTGCAAGGAGGTTTGATGGATGTTCTTTTAATTTCTTCTATTGATTGCTAATGACAATGCAATGGACCCCATTAGGCTTGATTGGGCCATTCTCAAATGACTCAGCTAGCACTCTATTATTCACAAATTGTTGTAATCAATTTCATTTTCATGTATGTGATGTGCATTTTAGTTGATTAGCTAGAACATTGATTTTTTTATAGCAAATGTCCGATTAATTATTTTTCCTAGCTAATGACAACTTTGGCACTGGAAACTCAATATTGAGACCTAAATTTGAAGTTAGTGTCTTTATTAATTATTTTTCCTAGCTAATGACAACTTTGGCACTGGAAACTCAATATTGAGACCTAAATTTGAAGTTAGTGTCTTTCTTTAGATCAACAGTGGGAGTACATGATACTCATTACATATTTACGGAATACTCTATTCGTTCTAAAATTAACATTTCATTTGACTTTTTATGGTTTACAATATAATACTTTGATCATTAATATTTCTGCTTATATATAACTATATATTATAAAAATAAAATGTTTCAAGATTATGTTTCAAAATGAATATATTAATATTAAATTTATATAAAAATTTAATGTATTTTTTTCCAAACATGCGGTCAAAGTTTAAAAAAATCAAAAAAGTCAATCTGATAAGTTAATTTTAAGATTGAAGAGCATATTTTTATGAATAACAAAATACTCATTTCATAAATTTACATATGAATATTCAACATGCATATAGTGGAGTGTTCACCATAAATGTACAAAAACAGCGTACGATATATATTGTGGCGTTTCTGTCTTTTTGGCACGTAAAATGAGTCGTGCAACATGGTTTAAACATGCCAAAAATGTGTTATCAACCGTTTAAGAAACAATCATACATAACAGTACTAAAATTATTCGAATAGCTCTCAAGTCTCAAGTATTCATACCTTGAATTTCACCTAACAAAATGAAAAGTAAAGCCATCCCAATGTATTACTCCCTCCCCTCCCGAATTTATTGTCTGTGGACAAGAATCTCGAACTCTCGAAGCCAATGTCTCGATCCGAAATATTTTGGTTCCTTCTCTATAAGGTTTCTTTTTATTAGGGATGCCAAAATTTTATCCTAAACCCGTTCAGAACCGTTTTAAAAATGGGATAGGATTGGAATACATAAATATTTTCTCATTCCGTCTCGTTGTTCTGAATATGTATATGTATATATCTGTTGATTTATTTATTTATGATGCTCCCTCCGTCAAGAAATAAAGTTCCCACTTTCCTTTTCGGTCCGTCCACAAATAAAATTCCTATTTCCTTTTTTGGCAACTTTTCTTTGTTAAAATGACTTATGTACCCTTATCCCCTTCATATTTTCTTTTTTCTTTTTTCTTCTACCCCATCACAACCATTCCTTTTCTTCATCTCTCTTAAGCTTCTCCTTTTTTTCTTTCTTTGCAGCAACTTCCCGATTTTGTTTTCTTTTTCACTTTCTTCTTCTTCTTTTTCTTTCCGTCATCTTTCTATTTGATCATGAATTAAATAAAAATAATATGAGATATTGATACAAAATAATTTTATTGGATTTATTTTATAAAAATTTTTAAATTATTATTTTACTCCGTATTTAATAGATATACCAAATATATTTTATTTAATTACAGGTGAAATATTGAGAATGGCTGAATGGTTGACTATAAAAAATCAAAGTTGGACAAAATACTCAAAGACGGAGGTAGTACTTTCGATATTAAAAATAGTTTTAAAAAGTAAATTCAATTGAAATCCTAATTGAATACTTTGAAATTTTAAATGATTCTTTAAAATCTAAATTGAATACTTTTAGATTTTATATGAATCTCTGAAATCCTAGCTAATTGAATACTCTCCAAACTTTTAAAATATAAAAAAAATACTACAAATTCTAGAGTGAAGTATATTATTGTATACTACGTGTGTATATATGTATATTACTTCTTATTGTATATGCACATATCTGTGAAAACCAAAAAAAAAAACAGAAAGAAGCATGGGTGTCCAGTATTACTAAAAAAAAGTTTGGACAAATTAAATTTCACATGCATGCATCAATCTTCAACACTACTACTTGTGAGAGGTGTTGACCCTTTCGTCATGGAAGAAATCAAGCAAGACCGTGCTTTTGCACACGGGACATTTTGGGCAGTCCTCCTCTGCCAGCATAACATACATCATACATCTAGGGCACCCTACCACCACCATCATCTGCCCGGCCGCCGCCGCCGCCGCCAAGGGGCTGCTGTCTCCGCCGTCGTCCCCCTGGCCTAGCTCCCAAGACACGCACGAGCTCGGCGGTGACGGCTTCATGGACAACAAAGAAGATGATCCAATCAACGGCGGTGATTGTGGCGGTGGACTGGCGGTGGTTCGCGGTGGCGATAAGTTGAGCTCCAAATCCAGCTCTGGACGGCGGCCCTCTTTTTTGGGGTTCATTTCTAAATTTTTTCCCCTTTATTCAGATAAAAAAATTGGAGTTTGTCCGGAGTTTCCAACGAATTGTATTTATAAACAAGCCAAAAGGGAAAATTAAAGAAAAAAAATCAAAGTAGAAAATATAGTCAACAATGAAAATAATAAATATTTTCCTCAACTAATACCACCGGCCACACGTACAAAAAATAAAAGTCACACCAAGGAACTAATTTATTTAATTTTTTTTACCATAAAATATATGATCAACGAAAATAGCGTTTCCGTTGACTAAGTATATTGATTTTATTTGTTTCATCTGGTAAAAAGTATCTTTGGAGTATATACAATTGATGAAATGGAGAATTAAAATAAGAGGGGAAAATTAAAGAAGAAGAGAAGTTTGAGAAATGAAAATTTATTTAAGAGAGGGGAGTAACGGGAGTTTATATATGGAGTTGGAGGCCAAAAACTAATTGAGAGGATATTAAATACGGAATTTATTGTGTAATTAACAGGAGAGGATATGATAGAGTATAGCATTAGAGTAGAGAGTTCGGTGATTGGTGAAAATTGAATATGAGAGATGAGTTATTAGGTGGAGAAGATGACTGGTGCATTCTTAGCTTCCTATCCACTTTCTTTGGTTCACCAAAACATTTCTTTTTTCATTTCTTTTCTCTTTCACTAAAATATTTCCATTTTTTATTAATAGTTATTTTACCCTTATTTATTTATTTTACCTGTCACATCATACTTTTTTAACTAGTAATCTATTCATCACATTTTACTTAAATCTATCAGATGAAGGACAAAATTGCAAAGTCAACTACAGCTTAACCATTCCTTATTTTGGTTTTTGGCCAAATTAGGAAGTGTTTTCCCAAATAGAAATCATCCTAAATAGGACTAAAACATAGATAAAAGTACCAAAATAGGACTTTCATGTTTTTTTACCGGAATAGGACTTTACACTGTGGTAATGTGACCTTGCATTGTGGTAATGTGGAATTGTACATGTGCAAATTACTATAATTTTTTGGTAATGTATATGACCATGGTTCGTAATGTAAATCTTATTTCGAGAATAAAAACATAGAAGTCCTATTTTGGTATATTTTCAAAGTTTTAGTCCTACTTTGATTTTTCTCCCTTTCCCAAACTCAAGGAGTAGAAGATTTTAAAATATACTCACACACCTCTAGTGTTTTGGTTTAATATAACTTTTTTAATCAAATTTGATAAATTATGATCATCAATTAAATAATTTATTAGATTGTACGGAGTATATTAATAATTAAAGTAAAATTATTTTTAAAAATTATTTTAAAAGATAAATCTATTTAAATCATTTTCGTGTTGTTGGAAAATCAAAAAATAAAATCTTTCCCGAGCATACAACAAAAGCTTTGAGTTTCAAATAACTTGGTTCCTTGACACATGTAGAATTTCGATGTGAATTGTTCTCACTTTCATTAACATCAGCACGCTATATATACAAGTACCGGCATGGGCCCAATACACGCACTATACAACACAATTATTCATAGTAAGTCTATTTACAATAAATATCCACTAACACTTTGCATCAAGTTGATGCATGAATGTCATGAATAATGACCAACTTAAATGATTAAAAAAATCAAAAATAGGCCTAGACAAAGATTTAGTAAATACTCCGTAAATATGCTAGCTGATAGCATGTAGGAACATAATGAGTGCAAACTTTTCGTGGCTGAACAGATTCTCAAATCGCGTGATAATCAATATCAAATTTCTTCATATGCTCATGAAATACTGGATTGGTTGCAGTATACAAATTTGATAGATTATCGCAGAATAAACGTGGAGGATAAAAGAACTAGTACACCAAGAGCACCAAAAAGACCACATATCTACCTGATCTCCATGCTACCATTCACCATAGTGTAATCTACTTTTAAGTCTTCCACGTACGAGATCGAGAATGTCGTGATAGAGGGAAACTAACCTGTCAGAGTCACAATATGTAATAATTTGAAGATTATTGTCACTCTATAACAAGATATCGTGACCTGGATGTCCTTTAATGTATCACAGGACGCGCATAGTAGAAACCATATGGTTAACAATATGTGCTTGCATAAACTGGAGAGAATACGCACGAAATAAGACAAATCAACCTTGGTAATGGTTAGATAAACTAGACCACCCCCAAGTCGTTGATATTGCTCTTGATTATGCAAAGAAATCCAGACTGATATTGCGCTGTAGAGGTGTATCCCCTAGTTTGCATACCAATAAACCAGCCTCAAGCACAATGACCAACGCATATTTATGTTTACACAAAGCCATTGTAGAAGAAGAAAAACACAATAAATACCAAGAAATATTTCAATGGACTCAAGTCCTTTAAGTGAAAACAATGATCCAAGTACTTTTTTAATGAAGTACACAGAGCTTATGCATTGGCATCTGAAATAAATACCTTCGATCCATTTTCAGAAATATTATTTTTAGTTACCAAATTTCAATTAAACTATAGAAAAATGTTCTCCAAGGTTCATAGATCATTTTAGTATCATTAATTCATGATTTTAACATCAAATTCAAGGTTTATAATTCTTGGTTCTTCAAACATGTCAAACACAAAACTCAACCAAACGACCATTTATGAACGTAAAAACAACCTATATGGTATCAGAGCCACCGCTCTTGGTGACCTAAAAAAAAGTTCTTTGCTCCGATACCATGATGAAATATTGGAATAATAATATTGCTCTTTGAATTATGTAGTACATGATAGAGTATATATATAGGAGAAACTCCTAACACAACTAGAAATAGAGAATGAAAACTAACTAACATACAACATCTACCACAAATAGGATTAGAAAGCTGACTAATAATGAAACACTACCATAACCAATACTACAAGATGTACTATTAGTATTATTGTCTAACACATTCTAGTATTTAGATATATCTACGGGCTTACCTTGAAACGTAATGGAGGTTTTGAAGATTTTCCAACGAAACTTCCGGCGACTATATCTCTCTGCTTCGGCGACCTCACACTAGAATGACAGCAACACTGCACTCTACTCTAAGCAATGAACAATATAAAAGGAAGAACGAATATTGATGGTGATGAAATGGAGGAATTGGCTCTCCTTAAATAGTCAAGTGAAGGAGGAAGAAGACAGGGAGTTTGCAGCTTCATTGATTGCACGGTGATTTGGAATCGGCGTAATTGAACAGGGAGCGGCACTGTTTGTTGCGTAGTCTCTGATTGGGACTAATTTTGGTCCCAGTCGGGGTACACTTTTCAGTCCAACTTTCTCCGAATTGAAATCCGATTGAACCGTTGGGGTCAGACAGTCAAACTCTACACAATGATATAATTTTTATTAATTATTGGCAAACGCTATATTTCACTTATTTTTGGGTCCTTCTCAATAATTAATTAATTATCAATTAATTAATTCTGATAGGCCTATTTTCAGGGCCTTACAATTTGATTTTTTTAAATAAGTTAATAAAATTTTATAAGAAACAAATGAAGTCCAAATTCATTCCATCTGTAATACTCCAACCTGCATAACCCAAATACATTAGCTAACAAATCGGGTTGCCACTAAATTGGTATCCAAACACAATTTGTGTTTAAAACAATTTAAAAATAATACTTTAAAATATAATTTCAAACATTCATCAGAGTAATTAAAAACAATATGTGATTTTGAGTCATTATTCAGAACAAACTTGGGATTCAAGCCCATAAAAGTAGTGAGTATTTAAATGATAAATAACAATTCAAATCTTCAATTGCTTCCACACACATATCTTTGTCCTCATCACCATCCAAGATTGGCTCGAGGTTCATCTTGATCCTAATTACCTACGTGCAGTAAAAGAACAAATGCTACACACTCAGTATTGAAACTAAGTGAGAAATATCTAACATTCAGTTATACATATAGACGATCTCATTAGCTCATAACATCATTCAATATCATGCTTACAAATTCATCATGAATATCAATGTAACAACTCAATTCATAAACAACATCAACCATATAAGATATCATGCTCTTTTTATTTTGGTCAACTAACTTGCTTGGCTCATAACCTATTCTAGGTTTAAGCTTATACTGATTCTGACAAACTTATTGGATTTATGACCTTCTCTTTCGGAACGAAGGTCAAGATCTACCAACTCTAGAGTTCTTTGTTAGGTGGGTGAGATCTCTATCCCATTTGGAAACGACAGTTCATAGATCTTTGTGCACACGTTTATACTCGAATAGCCATTCAATTCGACCCAGCAAGTGCTACATGGCTCTAACCTTTTATGTTTATGGCATATCTTGCCTTTATTCCTTTATGGTCAAATCCTAGAGTTCCTTTAGGTTAATACGTCACTTTAATGTTATATGACATTCACAAGTACATATCACATGAAATAGACACAACCATATCCAACATAACCAAATATGATCACACCTAGCGCTAGGTGTGAACACACATGCTTAATTACTGTCATGCAACATGCAAGGGCTCAGAATAAGTTCTCGATACAAAAACAGGTTCACGAACAGTTCTATGGTACCAGACCGTATCTAATCTGGTATCTGGGCACTGGTACGGTACCTGGGTACCGTCCAGGTAGTACCTTGTATCAGCTAGGGCAGAGCCCGCTAGCATCAAATGGCTTGTGGCGGTAGTCAGCTACTGTCCCGGCAGTAGGGTCTACCGTCCCCCTGGTACCTGGGTACCGAACGGTCGCGTACACCTAACGTGATAATCTTATTCCTGCACAAGCTCGAATTCTAGCAAGAAATACACATCAATTCCATTCAATTCGATACCAATATGTTCATAATTCAATTCCTAATCATATCCAACCTTACCTTAAGTAGAAATGTATCAGACCATTCATTCTAACCTACAATCGAACTATCACACGTATGGTTTCACATATATCAACCGTAATGATTCTACGAACGTAAGATTTAAACTTATAGATATAACCTAATGTTATATGTATGTAGTCACCTCGAATTCGATGAAGAAACTACATAGAACAATTTCTAACGAACGGCGGTGATGGAACGACTTCTCTTCCTCTTCCTTCTTCTTTCCCTCCGTGTTGTTTCTCGATGCTCTGCTGGTTCGATCGAAACAAGAGACGAGAGAGTGTGTGTGTGTGTGAGTGTGTTACGTATATGGGCGGCAACGTGTAGGTTTAGGCACATGGGGTAGTATTTAGAGAAATTTACCTAAATAGGACTAAAACATAATGACTTTCCCAATATATGACCATATGTTTTTATTTCCCAATGTAGGACTTTTGGTCATTAACAAGTAGTCATTATTCAAGTAAATGTCCATCATTACTGGACATTATTCTTCCCCCTAGGTCATTATTAACTCCTATTTAGGGAATAAAAAAGTTTAAGTCCTACATTGAGAAAGTCATTATGTTTTAGTCCTATTTAGTGCAAATCTTACTAGTATTTATAGGTTTGAGGTTTTTGACTCCATAATTAAATTAATGTACTTCGATTAAAAATATACTTTTCGGGGCCAACTTGCTTCAAATTCAGATTCGCTTTCGCTGTTGGATTCGTCTTGTTGAATCTTACACAATGGTATGATTTTTATATATAATTAAAGAATATAGTACTCTATATCCATCTCAATAATTAATTAATTATTCTTAATTAATTAATTCAGATACGTTGGGTTTCGAGAAGTTCACCATCACTTTGTATGTGTTTCCAATTGAATACTTTTGATGTCTTTATAGCTAAAATAATTTTACGTAATTAAGTCCGAAGTTGACTGAGCCGCACTAGAGTAAAAATGTAAAATATGGCGAATTCTCGGAATAGTGGTGTGTAAAAGAGAGTACGAAAGTAATATTGTATAATTGATCAAATTTGAAATTATTTATGTGAATTTTTCTTGAATTTAATTACATATGATTGTGTTCTCTAAATAAGCTTTCCAACACTACTTGAAATCTTGAATCAATCAAAGTCATCGCTTGAGTCAAAAGCTCTACTTGAAGTACTTTTTTCCAATTTTTGACTACATACAACCGAAAGCTAAATGGCAATTGAAGTGCTCCTTTTTTTCAGTTTTTTTAACTACATATAACCGAAAGGGAAATGGTAAATTTGACCCAGTAAATTGATGCCTATGCAAAGCATTGTTCACTTTTGGCAACTTTAGACTTGTTTATATGGGACTGATTTTTTCAAATTTTTCTCATTGTATTTTTGTTTTTTGGGCTATCTTTTATTTGGGTTGTGCTTGTATTGGGCTTGAACCCCTTCTTTTGAAACTCATCATCTTTAGACTATACTCCGTATTCTTTTCCTCAACCTACCACACTGATTTTTAGTGTTTTTCCCCAAGACAAAAAAAAAACATGCCTTAAATGATTTGATTTTGAGTTGGATTATTTTATTACATAATACTTCCCTTCATCTCGTAGAAAAGCTCTATGTTTAACTTGATACAGAATTAAAATAATAAAATTGTGTGATTGAAAATGACGAGAAGAAGAAAAATTATAGAGTTTGTGGGAGTATCTTGCATAAATTAGATGTCACAAAAAGTGTTTGAATTATGACCTTTTCTGGAGTTAAGCTAATATAATAAGGTGGTACGTTAGATTTTTAAACAAAAAAATAGTTATTTCTTGTAACAGGTAATTGCCAAAAAAAAAAGTAATGGTGATATATTTGTCAAAGAGGTCAAATTAAGGCCGGCCTAAAGGTGGGCCGTGGGCCAAGGTGCCCTACCACTCTAGATGCTGTTTTTTCGGAAGCCCAACATTTTTAATTTTTAAATATATACGTTGTAGAATTTTTTAGTAAAAAAGTTAAAAACTTAATTTTTTAAGGTAACGATTATGATCTTTTATTATAATATTATGTGTATTATTAATTTTTGTTTTAAAGAAAATAATTTATATAATTTAATTTATTATGGTCAAGACCTATGTTTTTGTCTCGTCCAGGGGCCACCAATCCTCGGGGCAGGGCCGGTCCCGAGGATTCATGTGCCTGGGCCGGAACATAAAAAAGGCCCTAAAAGTTTTATTCTTAGTGGTCTAACAAATTCACATATGTAAACTAATTATATTCAAATTATAATTAACAAAATATTATTAGAAGAAAATAATAAATGAAAAAATAATAGTAATACCGTAAAAGCTAGTCGAAGGTTCGAGAAGTTCTCCTTGCATTCTTGAGAGCAAATTGGTTGATCACATCTTCACTTCTTTTTTTAATTGTTTTTTTCTTTTTCAGTTTTAATTTTTTTTATAAATCATAAATTCATATCAATTCGTCAATTTATCAGTTTTTAATTTTTTTTTCAATTTTCAATCTTTTTTATATAAATATATCATAAATAACAAATTCAAATCAATTCATCCAAAACAAATAAATAACATATAGAACCATTAATTCATTATATTTAAGGAATGAAAATAGAAACAGATTTCAAATTTAAAACTAATAATTAACCCTAAATTTTAAATCTAAAAAATGAAACAAAGAAAGAAAAATTGAGATTTAAGAAATAAAAATTACAAAATTAGAAAGCTATGATATGAATAATTGAATATAGAATGCCTGGAGGGTGGAGCCGTTGAGGTCGGCGTCCGGCGGTAGAGGCGGCGTCCTTCTTCCGCTATCGGCAGCCGGCTCTTCCGTCTTCGCCTCTTCCGGTCCTCTCTTTGTTCGGCTCATCTTCTGATTTTTTTTTTTTGTCTAAAAGGTGAGGGGTGGATTGGGCTAATAAGGGATAGAAGCAAGGTAAGGGGTGGGTGGACTGAGCCTTAATTGAAATGGGCTTCTTATATACATATATGTATAAAATACTTAATAAAAAATTTGGTGCCCCTAAAATTATTGGGCCCGGCCCGGGCGGACACTTTGTCCCCCTATTGGGCCGGCCCTGCCTCGGGGCCAGGGTTGGGTCGAACTTACATGAGCAAAATTGTAATTCATTCAAAAACGTGAGAAAGTCGATCGTCATGATGATTGACACCATGAATGACGATTATTTATGAACTTGTATGCACATACAGATGATAATCATTTTGTTGTTCACAAACAAGCCTCCTTGAATGAATTTCAATTATTAATTAAACAAAAATTGCATCGCCTATTCAATTCCATGCATCCCCAAAACAAGGTACGGAGTATATTATTCTTTCTACTATGCATCATAATTTGTAAATTGCTAGGGGTACACTTTTTGGTATACTCCAAATGTACACCACCTCTTTTTCCACCACACATTTTTATTTGATTTTTATTTACTTATTTTTTTTTAAATCTTTTTGCTTTTTTTAGTGGACAAGAAAGAGGTGAGGGACATATAGGGTACACATTTAGTGTACCCCTAGCATTTTTCTAATTTGTAACTTGTCTACTTTGAACCCTCCTTACATTCATCCTTTCAAGTAACTTTTAAAAAAAAAATACTCGTACCATTTACCAAACTACCCTTCCGGACCCAAACAAAACTAAGGTAAGAAACACAATCAAAGTGAAAAGTCCAGCAGCTATGCACGCCAAATCCAACCTCTTCTCCCTTCTCTCCTTAATCTCCTTCCGTTCTCTCTTACGCCTTTCGAATTCCTCATACCTTTCTTTCTCCTCTCCCTCTTTCCTCTTCCTCCTCTCCATTCCCATGGCTTCTTGTATAATTACCAAACTCTCCTTCCCCTTCACGCTCTTCCCCTCCATGTCCTCCACCTGCATGCTCGCCTCCCGCACGTGCGCCTCCCCTCCCTCCTTCCCCTCGCACGTGACCACCACGCTGAACTGCACCCACTCCCCGCCGCCGCCCTCCAAGACCGTGGCGAACCTTATCTCGATGTTTCCGGTGAAGCAGTTTTGCCGGAATCCGACGGGTTTCAGGCTGGATACGTTGACGGAGCGTTTCCCCGACGGGTCGATCAGAATCCAGCTCAGGGCCAGTTGTTCTTCGAGTTCTTCTTGCCCGGCCGGACAGGGGAAAAATCTCGCCGGCGTCCCTTTTGTGTTGAGAAGCTCAACTCTGAAAGGGGACGACGAGAACCAATTGGACACGGTTTCGGAGACTATGGCCTTTGAGTATATCGATTTTTCGCCGTGGAATATGTCCACGGCGGATATGAGCTCTGTCGCCGGTGGACGGTGGCAGGGGAGATGGTCTCTGCGGCGATGGATGGTGGGGAAAGAGTCGGAAAAGAAAGAGCGGTGGCCGGAAGGGAAGGCGGAGATGGCATGGCGGACGATCGGGTCGGCGGTCGACGGCCAAGAGGAGTGGCAGAGCCGGCGCCAGAGATTATCTTCGGAACAGAGGGTGTGAAGTTCTGTAAAGGCGGCGCCGGCAGAGGCGAGAGTCGGGCCGTCGAGTCTGGTTAATAAGTGGGTTCGAATTATCTCCGGGTGGAGGGCGGTGATGGCCGTCCCTTCGCCGTGATCCGCCGTTGTTGCGGCGGCGGTGGTGGTGGAGGAAGGCATTACTGGGATCATAGTTAGAAGGGTTTTCAATTTGGGGATTTACTTTTCAAAAAAATGAAATGGGGGGGTTTTATATTGATGGTTTGTGGTCAATGGAAGGACCAGTCAAGGCCGGCACGGCGGCGTGTAAGCAAATTTTAAAACACTAAAAATCCTATCTCAAGAACATCTTGAGACTTGAATAGATTCCATTAAATTCAAACCTCGGTAAAAAAAACTAATTACATCAATTTCAAAAATAAATCATGTAAACGGAAATATTGAAAAAAAATCTAGAAAAATCAAAATCAAATTAAAAAACCGAGAAAAAATCAAGTAAATTTGTGTCTGGTTTGGAGTATTCAATCTTAAATCTGAAAAAAAAATATTTGCACTACTTAGCACTAAAATTTAAGTCATTTCCATAAATAGCATTTAAACTGTTTTATTCTCTAAATAACACTTAATAATGTACATAATGTCCATTGATGACGAATGTTTATTTGAATAATGACTAATGAATAATGACTAAAAGTGCTACATTTGACAAAAAGCACATGTGATACTATTTAGAGAAAGTCATGGTGCAGACAAACACTAGAAAAGAAAATAGCTTTAGGAAAATAATTCATTTTCTTGAAACCATTTACCTTGTTTCCAAACGGACTCTAACACTATGTTTGGTTCAAGGAATTTTAAAGAGAAAATAAAAAAAATGAAAAATAATTTTTCTTGTTTAGTTAAAGGAAAACAGAAAGAAAAAGTGGAAGAAAAAGAAAAAGAGAAAACAAAATGTTCCAAATGGAGGGAAAACTAAATTCTTTCCATTTTGGTGAAAAAATGACAGAAACTTATTTTCTTTTCTTTTCCTTTCAAATTCTTTGAACCAAACATGATGTAAATGTCAGGCTCATATCGAGGGATTTTTAGAAATGGAGGGTTTCTTTTGAAAACACTAAAACTATGTTATGTTCATGGAATTTGGAAGGAAAAGAAAAGAAAATGATTTTTCCTTAGTTTCCTCACCAAAATGGGAGGAATTTGGTTTTCCATCCTCTTAATACATTTTGCTTTCTCATTTTCTTTTCCTTCCACTTTTCTTTTCTTTTCCTTTCTAACCAAACAAGAAAAAAAGTTTTCCTTCTCATTTTCTTTTTCTTTCCCTCTCAAATTCCTTGAACCAAACATAGTGTAAGGGGCGTTTGGTTCGGGGGTAAGGGAAACGAGAAACAGAATGAGATTCCCTTATTCCATTTGTTGTCGTTTGTTTAAAAAAATTAATTCTGTTTCTCCATTTTTCGGTTTTGGGTTACCCTGTTTCCCGTCTTTCCATTCCCCGCTCTCTATCAGGGTTTCCCAATCTCATTCCCCTATTCCCTTTCCCTAACCCTTCTTCCCCGTCCATTTCTTCTAGCAGCCACCCCACCGCGTCTTGCCGCCAACCTATCGCATCTCGCTGCCACACCACGACTATTCCATCCACACCGCAACCCAGGTATGTTCCTCCCCCTCCCCCTCTAGCTCCGTTTCCTTCCCCTCCAGCTCCGATTCCTCCCCCTCCCGCCCCAATTCCTCCACTCCCGCTCTGACTCACTAACCTGTTTTGAACCAAACACATGGGGTAGTTCGGGATAATCATTCTCTTCCCCCCTGATTCCCTTACCTGTTTCCTTACCCTTTCCCCAGCACGAACCAAACGCTCCCTAAATATCCCAATCGTAAAAGTTACGTAGAGTAAAAAATAAGTTATTCTCTTCCAAAGTTTCCACCGCCTAAAACGTTGTTGGAAAGTCCTTATTTTGTTTTACTATTCCAACAACAATTTTTCACTTTAACCGACAAACATTTTTTACCCCGTCAAGCTTGGGTAAAGGCATTATTCAAATGGGTAGCCCCATCAAATGGACACAATGTTATGGACAATGTTGTCAAATTTTACCGCTCCTTTCGTCCCTAAAAAATTTTTGTTCTTTGATTAACGTTATTTTTGTAATTTTTAAAATAGTTTTATTTATAAATTGATAAAAAATAAAAAAAATCTTATATTCAAAAACTATATCTAAAAATCTATAAAATAAGAAATAATAAAAATATTTTATTTTATCAAAAGATTAATACAAACATGCAAACAAATAAAAAATTATTAAGACATATAATCGCACATAGGTATTCATCACAGTTGTTTCAAAACATCACGTTCATTCTTCATTGTGAGAGTGACATTTTTTTTATCATTTTTGTTACTCTTCTTGTCTATTTTCATTACTCAAATTATAAGCAACATACTATTATCATTTCTTATCGTAGAATTTTGTGTTTATTATTTATATATACGGAGTATAAACTTTAATTGTAATTTAAATTAAAAATAATTTTAGTCAAATATCATAAATTATCCTCCATAACTCACTATAAAAAGATCCATGTGGAGCCATAGAGGAAGTACTCTATAATTTAATAGAGAAATATTAGAGTAAAAAACATAAGAGTTACAAAATACATAAATTGTTATTTGCGTATTTTAATTCTCAAACTTTTAATTATTTAAAATTAATTTTCTCTTTTGTTAAGTTGCACAAATAGTAAAAGTGTGTACTTTGTAATTTTTGTTTGTGACTATATTACTTTTCAATTTAATGAAAACAAAAAATGGTCTAAGCCCAATCCAAAAATTTGATAGATTGGACAGTAATTTAATGAAAACACAAATGGTCTAAGCCCAATCCAAATATTTGACGGTTTGTAAGGTGGATTTTGTAAGAAACTTCCGAAGCGTAATCCTAATTCGGGATGTGACGCAAACATTGTACCACGGGAACACCATATCGTGGGTTGAGATTGTTCGAAATCAAACCCATATAAACTGAAAGAATTGATTTAAGGCTAGACCAAAATGGAATACCCATTTGTCATTTGTACACCAAGCCAATACTGGCACACACAGACACGAAATGTCTGTGCTGCACAAACATTGTGTATTCTTTTTTAGTTTGGTGTACACTTGGGATACCCTATGTTGGTGTACTCCTAGCATTGGCCAAACTGAAAATTACAGTTATTTTGGTAATTATATTTAAAATCACACTTTTGCATCTCTTATCTAAAAGAGTTACACTTGAGATAAATGTCTAACAAGACAAATACAAGAGATCTAGATGCATTGTACAAAAATATGGATTATAATAATGCTTTTTCTATCCTAAGTATTTGTTTACTCGTTTTCTTTGTTCATTTGATAAATTAATTTTTTTTGCATCTTGTTTTTTAGAACTTTTAATGTAATTTTGAATGGTGTAATCTATACTTTTTTTCTACCAATTAGTAAATAAAATAATTTTAAAAGAGATAACATTTTGTACATTGTTTGAAATATGTAAACAATTTGGGACGAAAGGAGTATTAACTATAGAAATAGAAAATGGAAACTAACTTAAATACAACATCTACCATCAATAGGAATAGGAAGCTGTCTTATAATTAAACACTAGCTACCATAACTATTACTCCGTATTATTATTATTATTATTATTATTATTATTATTATTGTTGTTGTTGTTGTTGTTGTTGTTGTTGTTGTTGTCTAACAGCTTTGAATGTAATGATTGGCTAGTTTATTAGGACAAACAGTTTTGATTTATGTCAGATCAACATGTGTGCGTTACTCAAGTAGCAGGGTCCGACACTATTTGTAAAATCATATGTAGCAAACAACGAATCGGGTCGAGCATCGGGCTTGGCCAAAACACTTTATTATAGAAATTTTCGAGGACGTAGCCCGACCTAGCCCGCATTACGGGTTATCATTTTTAGTCATAGCTCAGCCTATCGAAAAATGAACGTATGGGCTTCGGGGCAGTCCTGGCCGCTAAATTATACTACCTCTGTTCAAAAAAAATCCCATTTTGACTTGGCACGGAGATTAAAAAAATTGAAAAATGTAAAGACTTTCATGTTTTGTCTTTGATGTGATGGAATAAAGTGAATAGTCTAAATAAAAAGTAGGAGTATAATGGTACATTTGTTAAAAAGAATTGCCAAGATAGTTGCCAAGATAGGAAACAAACTTTTTTTAGATGACCTAAAAAGAAAAGAGAAAGAAATTAATGGACGGAGGAAGTATACTTTTTCAATTATGTGATTTGAAGCATACTTTCAACAATCCATTAAGTTTTCATATTTAATTGTCTGAATCATACCTTTCAACATTTAATTGTCTGATGCATACTTTTCAAAAACTTATACTCCCTCAATTGCAAAGTATTGTCTAATTTTGATATTTTGTAGTTAATCAAAATTAATATTTGACATATAATTAAATAAAAACTACATAGTGTATTAATTAAATAAAAAATATTTTAAAAATATTTCACAAGACAAATTTAATAAAATTAGTTATGTATCAATATTTAATATATATTTTATTTAATTACTGGTCAAAATTTACCAATTTTGAATATAAAAAAACAAACCGGACAAACACTTTAATACGGAGGTAATAATTTTTTAGACTATATAGGGAGTATTTTTTAACACAAAGTTACGAACGGAATTGCAACTATTAAAACATTAAGGAAGATTTGAAGCATACTAGAAAGTGTGACACAAATACATGGCCACCCGTCTTCCTGGAGAAACTGAAAATGAGGCAAATGCAATTGCAATTTGTGGAGTTGCGCACTTGGCAAGGTAAATGGTGTACAATGAGAAATATTCAAGTTGCAATTCTTGGCAACTATGCTGGGAGACAATTATGATAGGCATAAGGTTTCTGCAAGTACTAAAAGCAGTCTTCACTATTTACCACTCATCTGTGTTTAAATCTCAATTTACCTCCTTTCAAGTAAACGTTTGTGATTTTTGAGGCCGTAGGTTCAAAAATCATAATCCATACTCGGCCTTTATCGCCTTCACGGCCTATGACAATAAAACTAAAGCCGAAACTTGTACCTTTTTGGGCGGGTCTATAGGTCGGCGGGTCCTGGGTCCATTATTGAGTCTAAATGCTAATGAAGTTATCACTAAGATTGTTGATGAAAAAAATATTGACAGTGTGCGGGTAAAGATTAAAAGTTTGTACTCTGTATAGACTTTGACTGTCTTTAACCAACAAATTATTTTTGAAGCAACTTATCTTCTGTCTGTCTTCATATGCATATGCAAGAAGCTAAGGTACATCCCTTCTTATTAGATTT